GTCTGCCATGGGGTCACTGGCCACCAGGGTCCAGACGCATGGCTGTCCTTGCCACCAAGCCTTCTTTACCATGTACGACGTGTCCATACCATTTAAGTCTTCCTTCCTGCAGTTTTGCTATGATTGGTGCAACTCCCAGTCAACACTGGATGTTGTCGTTTATGGTGTGGTCAAATCGTGTTAGTCCAAGGCACCATCGGAGCACACACATTTCCATCACATGTAGGGCCTGCTCATGCTTTGCCATCGTTTAATTTTAATTTAATTTTATTCAACTTATCAAAATATAAAGTACAAATGAAAATAAAAATAGTGGAAAAATGGGGGAAGGAAAAAGGGAAGGAAAGAAGTGCAAGATGAAGGGGAAAAAAGAAAGAAAAAAAAACCTTGACTTCCAACTCTTTTTAGTACAGTAGAATAACAACATTGGAGCCTCAGCTTTTTACTTTTTACATACTTCATATGTACTAGCCATTTCTATAACAACAAACTTATCTAATTAGCAAAACCCAGAGTCAATGTTTCATTTCCCCCCCATCTTTAGCACAAAATCCAGAAACAGTTTCCCAACAGAAAAAAACTTGGATGTATTATTTTCTTGATCAGAGCAGTTAATTTAGCCATCTCTGCTAGTTCCAGTTTTTCCAGCCATTCATCCATCATGGGAATTGAAATATCTTTCCATTTTTGTATATAAAGCTTACATATTCAAAGGGAAGTCTGAAGTGAGCATTCTGCCTGGTGTCCCTAAGCTTTATGTGTCATTTAGAATTGCACTTCTTTAGAATAAAATAAGAATACTTCCTTCCAGGAATTAAAGGATATATATTATTGTGATCCTCCTTCAGTCTTCTAATTTCCTATAAAGCAGGGCCTTTTAAAGTTACTTAAAAAGTTACACAACTGGGCATATATAGCCAATGATTTCATACACATTTCCAAAAACTGTTTCCTTCTTTTTTAAAAAAAATAGAATGTTCAGATTCCCACACACACCTACCTAATCACTGTTACTAATTTTTCAGGGTAGATAAGAAGACACATATTTATAAACTAGCATGTTTTCCAAAGAGTGGAAAGTCTTTTATGAAGTAACTGGAATCACCTTCCCCTCACCTGGATCTAAGTCTTCCAAAGACTGGGTCAAATGCTATCTTTGATACAGTTTTCTCTGTCCTTCTTGGCTTCTATTGGGTTACAATATAATCCCATCACTAGATGCTAATCCTCACCCCGCCCACAGGAACAGTAGATTCTGTTTATCCCAGTCTGGAATCAATCCAGAAGTTCTTGTCTTTCCTTCTGTTTAACTGGCTGATGCAATAGAGGTACAGACTATGAAAGCCTGAATAATTCCTGGCAAGAGTGTTTGTTTTACTAAAAAGCAAATGTAATTATCTACAACTCTCTTTCTATTCTCACTCAATTTGTACTAACTTTACAAGGGAATGGAAAAGTTATTTATTGGTTTATCCTTTAGAATAGAATAGAATAGAATAGAATAGAATAGAATCTGGAAGGGACCTTGGAGGTCTTCTAGTCTAGCCCCCTGCTAAAGCAAGAGAACCTATACCATTTCAGACAAGTGACTGTCTACTCTCTTCTTAAAAATCTCCAGTGATGGAGTGCCCACGATTTCTGGAGGCAAGCTGTCCCACTGGTTAATTGTCCTCACTTTTAGGAAGTTTCTCCTTAATTCCAGGTTGCTTCTCTCTTTGGTCAGTTTCCAGTCATTGTTTCTTGTTTTGCCCTCTGGTGCTTTGGAGAATCTTTGGGCTTTTGATTGTTATTTTTTTTTCATCCAGCAACAATGCAGGTGTCTCACACCTGTCACAGTATTCTGTTGTTCAGAATGATAAGACATTCATCAGTTTGGGTTTGCTGGTTTTACCCAGGCACAAAAATGCCATATGCATAAAGGAGATTGAGCTGCGATATATGGAGCTGTAATGTATGTAATTCCACGAGTTTGTTTGCGAAGGAAATTGTCAGTCAAAAATATCGCAAATTTCATTAGCAATAATAATGTGTGAGGTCAGCTACTTTACCAGTCATTTCCATTTATTTGAGAAATAATTTGAACGACTACATCTGCAGCTCATATTCAGCCTAATCTCCCTATTCCTAGTGCTGGTGGGGGATTATTCCAAAAAAGCATTTTATTTGATCTGTACTATACATTCAATGCAGGACATTGTTATGTGTGAAAACATGCCATAAAGAGGAAGATAAAGATTTGGTTGCCACAGCAGGAGCCTAAATTCTTTTAAGTAAAAATGTTCTTTTCTTTTGTCTGTGTTAATGCTGCATATTGCACTGAAATGTCCTCAAGTACCAGGGACTCCTGCATAAGCCTCTATGGTGTGTGTAGTTGAACAATACAGTCCACAATTTATTCACCAGCCTGGCATCTGTGTTCCTACCATTGGAGTCTGATAGTTTACCCTTGACTAGTTTTCATATGACTTAGGGTCTTTCTCCATTTGTATCTAAAAATGCTACAAACATGACCTGGCAACATCTTTTTTCTAATGTATTCCGTTGATGTTGCCTTCTTCTTGTCCCAACCGTTTGAGTGAGTCATAAGTCATCCTTACCTCTTCTGGGTTTGACACAGTATTTTCCACCTTATTTCGTACAACTACGGACCTGCGCCTCTTTCGCCGAGCCTTGAAAACCCATCTATTCCATGCGGCCGGCCTGGCGTAGTTTTGATTGTGTTTTGGTAGGGGTTTTTATATGGGGTATTTTAGAGCAGGCTTTTTATTTAATATTTATTGTGATTTTTATTATTGCCTGTTCACCACCCTGAGTCCCGTAAGGGAGATAGGGCGGTATATAAATTTAAATAATATAATATAATATATATATATATTCCATGGATAACTTTGAAAATGGATTAAATCTCTGAGGCCTGGGTGTATTTCATTTTGGAGGGAAGTCAGAGGGAGGGCAACATCTGGAACAGAAGCAATAGAAGCAGGATAGGCTACAGGGACAGCCAATCCAATATAGTCCAGTTTTCCTGCCATTCAAGCATGGGTGGAGATAACTTCAACTAAACAATGGGGGAAATCCCCACTGTATGTTATGTGTTCGATATATTTTCTGAACTTAAAAAAACAGGTCAGGTCAGTAACTAAGCACATTACAGAAACATAGCTATTATCTATACTGTCAGGGACCAATACAGGCAATTGACTTACGATCAATTGCTTAGCAACTGTTCAAAGTTACAATGGACCTCGCTGGGGAGTACTTACAACTCATGTTCTAAGTTCCCTCCCTTCATCCCCCCCACAGTCATGTGACCACACTTCAGGTGCTGGGCAAGCAGCCTACATGAACTGCCATTTGTAGCATCCTGCAGTCACCTGACCTTGTTTTACGATGGTTTTGCTGAAAACTGGCACTTACTTCTGTTTTTTTTGGCAAAACCAGCTTGTAACAAACTATTTACTCACTTAACAACCACCGTAAAAAAGGTCACAAAATCAGGTTGGTCATGTGGGTGACTTGATTTATGACCGTCATGACTTACAACTGTAATGGGAAGGCTCTATTATGATCATAACTCAAAAACTACCTGTAACAGTTTTTCAATGTTAAAATAGTGTGTGCGGGATCCATATATTTATATTGTTTTTGCAATCTTTAAATGCTTTTGTAGTGTTTCAAAAAGCATATATTACAGCAAGGAAAAACCTTCAAACCATTTCAGTTCACTACAAATGATAGAACTATTCAATGTTCTATATCTACTAGATATTTTAACCTACATTTTAATTACTTTTATACTCGATTATTATTACTCATGATGTTGATTTTGCCTTTTGCTCTTTAAACAGCTCAAAGCATTATCTGTTGATACCTATTTAATGGCCATGTCCAGCCTAACCTGGACTTAAAAGACTGCCTATTATCAGCGAAACAAAATTCTTGAAGGAAAAACACACACCCTTTTAAAAGCTTGCCATTTGGAGCAAATATCTATCAGATTAGCTGGAGAACTTAGACTATCTAAATCATCCCGATATACTCTTTGAGAGACAAAGATGGTGAAGGTTGCCTCCAAATAAGTTTTCTTCCCATAATATTTACAGTGGCTTCTGAAATGAGTGAGCTCTTTTTTCTAAAACAGTTTTGCTGATCAGTACTCTGGTGTCCCTACATTACAGGTATCGTTGTTCAGTGTTTCTATTCCATAGTTCTTAACAGCCCCACGGTGAGATGGGTGGCAAATAAATTAAACAAATATACAATGGGTTTGCTTCGCCCCCCCCACTTTCTGCCCCTCACTCTTGTTCCTACAGATCTTTTCCTTTTGAAACCTAGTGAGACCAGCTGTTCAAAAGCAAGCCAGGATCTGGGAACTGGTTCACCAGTTGCCTGAAATGGCAGGGTAGGGAGTATTATAATAGAAAAATGGCAGGAGTGACGTGAGGTCCTTAACTCTCTTCTTCCTATTCTTCCCCCCATCTCTACCGCCAATCTTCACAATTCCTCATTCTCTGCTATGTTGCCAGCCACATGTTTTTGATCTCAGAAGTCAGTGGAAAATGCAAAGAAAAAATAGCTGGAAAAGATAAACTACTGTATCATCTTCAACCTGTTGTATCTCTGATCCAAACCATTACCTTCCCAGAGTTACACTGCTGCTCTTTTCAAAATATTTACTTTGAACTCAGTTTCACTTGCATTCTACTTACTTTCTGGCTTTAAAAAATTTTTTTTTGAAAAAAAAAACCTCTACTTCCAAAACCAAAACTGAGCAGTGCAAATACATGTAAATTTCTGGAGTCTGTGTTTCTGCTAGTAATTTATACTTTCTACTAACCCAGACAATTGCGGGGGGGGGGGGGGGAGAGAATATAGTATTGGGTGCTGAATACTACCTGCTAACAAAAAAGATTTTTAAAAAGCACATTATTAGACTACCTGGAACCTGAGTACCAATCTGTTTTGGCATACATTGCTTGAACAAAGAACTCATAGTAATTCTGCTTCTTAACATTTCACATGTTTTTCTGTGCTTTTTTGGATAAGAATTCTGATCACCCTAGATTCTTTAACTGTACATTTCCCTTTTTGCATTCCAGATGTCTAGTATGGCTTGTCTGTTTTCACGCATCCAATCCCAAAGCTCACACAAATGAATATTATTTTCCCCCAATTTTGATTCCTTCAATCGTGAAAGCTCGAAGGAAGATATTTAAAATTAATATAGCACTTTAAAAGTAATCCAAGTACATGTTATATTATCCCTGTTCCCCTCAGAAGAGCCCTGTAACGTAGATAGATCTGTATTAACTGTGTCTATACTGTAGATGGAAGCCTCTGAAGGAGAGGAACTGATGGACTCTGTGAATATGGCTGACCTGAACAGAAGATTTGTGTCTCAGTCTGTTTTAGCCATAAATTAATATTACATTAGTTTACAAGCTTGGCATCTTTACTGGGACACCACGATATTTGGGTTTCAGTAGTAGATGAAGTCCAGGAGTATCACTCTCTGATCCATACTTTGTGTGTCATAAAGAAGCAATGTAGACTTCTTTAACTCAGGAGTTGCAAAAGTTCTCAGGCTGCCTTGCTTGTACAAGTCACTCAGAGCAGCTGCAAAGGACCAGGTTGCACTGAATGTGATCAGAATTCATCTCTGACTCTCAGCCTCCTGGACTTCACCCCAGACTTAGAGTCCAATTTAATCTTTCGGCTTGTGGATCTAGGTCTTCCCTTTGGAGCAGGAGGCTCTGGTGAATCCAGACTGTCAGGTGCAGAATTGTTGTCTTCTGTGTCTTCTTTATATGACTGTTCCTGTTCTGCCTCTTTCTGTCTCATCAGCTTTTCTGCTTGGCTCCATTCCTACAACCAGAAAGAACATAGGACAGTGATGGCAAACCTTTTAGAGACCGAGTGTCCAAAAACCGCCCCACCACCCAACCCCACCCACCCATAGGGCCACCCACTGCCTCCACAGCCCACTGCAGCAGATCACCCAGGTGGTCCTGCAGTGCCATGACGGCCATGCCCTCCACCTACACCCTGCAGCATCATCTGCACGTGATGGGGCATGAGGGTGAAGTCTTGTCCTGGCTGTCATGTCCTTGGCTATGCTGCTCTGCACGGGCTGTGCCCGTGGGCAACTCTCCTCTGGGGGGCCTGCTGGTGAGGCAGCCATGGGGGGAGTTGGGGCTAGGGCGAGGGTGCATGTGCTTGTGCCCACAGAGAGGGCTCCGAGTGCCACCTCTGGCACACGTGCCAGAGGTTCACCACCACTGACATAGGAAGTGGAAAAAGTAAGGAGGAGCCTGATAGAAAAACACTTTACCATTTGATGGTCTCCTTCTTACTATCACCTTTTCTCAATATTTCTATGGGGAGCAATGTAACTTCAAGTCAAGACACTTGGAAATTTATCCAATGCTTCTCTCCTTTCATTTCCTCACTGTAGCCTTATCGGCAGCCCTTACTTTTTTATTTTGCCTATGGACTTTGGGTCCCTTTCAACCCTTTCTCCCTCTTCCTTGCTTGGTTACCTGCTCCGCGTGCTCTGGAGAAAGGGTATACCAGAGGGCGATAGCACAGCGCCTCCCACGGGTCACGGCCCACACACCATGAGGATTCTCTTCACCAGAGCTGAAGGCCACCAGCCTCCCGCATTTAGGGCGCACTTGAGCCTGCCAAAGAGAGAGGGGAAAATGATAAATCAACAGTTCTCCCCTTCCTTGCCATAGAATTCTCTTCTTTCAAGCTCATACGATGACTTTGAGTTATACTATAGATGGGAAAACATTTTCTTATTTTGGAGACAAGAAGAGAATTGCTCAAGCCCAGTACAGAAGAAGTTCATGCATCTTCCAACATAAAATTTGGCTGAATTTGCCTGATTGCTCAGTTTGTTAGGGACAAATACTGCGAATTCAGTTTCCAGTTGTCCTTCCTTCTCTCCTAATCCCATGTTCAAGGCTTGAGGCAGACTCACTGTAACGGTTACAGCATCCATCTCAGTGAAGAAGAGATTCCCCCCTTGGAAGTCTTCATTCAGGTAAAGGATTGCACTGTGGAGAAATGAGAAAATAAAGAAAGGTAAGGGTACCTGAGCAGTTTTCCACGAGTCTTCCTTTACCTTAAATAATCAAGCTTCGTATTTAAATTGCCAGAGATTGACATTCTTTTAGGAGAGCGTTTCCACAAGGGATGTTGCTAGAGCAGATGTGAAGGTTCACCTGGGAAAACATGATGTCTCTAATAAGGATCAAATATATTATTCAGGGAAATGTATGTGACTGAAGCAGCCTTCTTCAAACTGTTCTCCTACAACTGCGTTGCACTACAAATCCCAGCCATGCTGCCTGGATGCCAAGATATTAGAAAAGGTTAATCTATATTCAAGGCCAGTGGCAACTCTCAGATCCACTTTCTGTTCCTGTTCTCTCTGTGTGTGTTATGTGTGTGCTCATCATTCGTTGTCAGCAGTAAGTTGAAAGCAAAGCTAGTCTATCTGTGAGCTGTCTTTGACATTTCATGTTTACTGCTTGTTTGTTATTTGCCGAACTACAGCATGAATATTTTCCATACCACCCACTCCTGTTACATGTTTTATTGCAAAAAATATCCATTATGTATTATCTGTACCAGCAGGCATTAATATGGGGGACTAATTTAAACCTGGATGCTTAACAAGAAAGCATACTCAATGAAATACCTTACATCGGAAGAAAAAGAATATATGCTGTTCTTCCTACCTTCCTATCATGTCACATTTCTCCAAGGATTTTCCTTTTACTCTCCTAAGCTTTCACAGGGTGCTACCCAATCTCTCTCTCTTTCTCTCTTCCTCATTCTCTCAATCAAAACACTGTGAGCAAATGAGCGTAGGTTCATTTTGAACAGGTCTGAAGTTCTTCTTCCATTTGCAGAAACAGCTTTTTAAAAAAATAATAAAAAAATTAAAACCAGAATTCAAAAATTCAAAATACTCCAAGCATATCAGCTTCTGGAGGAGAACCAACAGCAATGTGGAACTGATCCACTCTCAGTCAATGACTGCAGAAATCGATTGCTGCCATGCCTTACACTGTTCTCTTCCTCAGCAGTAGCCGCATACGTTAATTAAAGCACGCATCAGAAGACATAATCATTTTCATTCCCAGATCCTCTCCACACAGCCAATAGCTTCCATCCACATATTTTCATGCTGCTGTGCAGCATCTGGCAGGGATTCCCAAGTTGTCCTTTAGCTAGCCAATTAGAGAGCACCAGAAACAAGAGGCAGTCCCAGCTGTGCTCTTCACTTTGGTGTATTAGCTGCTTATGTTGAGAAAAAGAGGGAGGAAAAAAAGAAATCAGCCATTAGTATGGGAGGAACAAAACTACCTGGGATGAGGAAGAAGAGGGAGAATGAACCATCAAGTCAATAGGAATCCCAGAGCAGGGCCAGGCAGACGTTACTACCAACAGGATGCATCTCTTGCCCAGCAGCTCTAATCCAGAGGAAGGGCTCTAAAACAACAGACACAGCCGTCCCTTCTTACACAGAAGCCAAATTAATTTGCAGAGTTAATCGGCTCAGTTTCCAATGAGCAGATAGTTTGATTAAGAATACACAAGGGTGATACCAATCTTAAACTTGTTCCTCTCTTGAGCGTGGAAAAAGTGCCACTGTACACTTCTACTCTAATTATAAAACTAAGAATGGCAAGCAAGAGGTCTCTTTGTAGTTTCAGACTAAGAAGAAAAATACACGGCAGCAATTCAGTTCTTTTCTTTTGCTAGTTTAATGAATTCCATGATAAAAGAATTGTTTGCTCGGTAGATTGTCAGCTGATATATGCACAAAGCAGTGTTTCTTTTAGCCTGGGTGAGTAAGATAGAAACAAATGTCACGAAGAAAAGCTCAGAATATTTTGGAATTCTAGAATTCTATTTTGAAAAGACAATATAAGGTTCACGAGGAGGCGAACAAGGCTACTATAAGCCTCCTCAGAATAACTAAATTTGGAGGGAGGGGTGAAGAATATCACTCCAGTCCCACATGACTAAAGCATGTAAGAGCAAAGCAATACGAAACACCCACACACTTGCTGATTAGAGTCATTATGACTGAGTTATTCCTACTAAGGGGAATAATATTTGCACTGATTACAACAGTCAGGAATATGAGGAACTATATTAAAGGGTCACGGCATTAGGAAGGTTGAGAACCACTGCTCCAGGCCTTCCTGTCCTCCACCATCTTCTGGAGTCCATTTAAGCTCACGCCTACTGCTTCAGTGACTCCATCCAGCCACCTCATTCTCTGTCGTCCCCTTCTTCTATTGCCCTATTTCTCTATACAGAAACTGAAATACTTTGGCCACCTAATGAGAAGGAAGGACTCACTGGAAAAGGGCCTGATGCTGGGAAAGATTGAGAGCAATAGAAAAAGGGGACGACAGAGAATGAGATGGCTGGATGGAGTCACTGAAGCAGTAGGCGTGAGCTTAAATGGACTCCAGAAGATGGTAGAGGACAGGAAAGCCTGGAGGAACGTTGTCCATGGGGTCGCCATGGGTCGGACACGACTTTGCAATTAACAACAAATACAGAACTGTTCAAATTTTGACCACAATTGGGACTAGAATTTCTATTGCTAAGCAAGGCGGTTGTTAAGTGAGCAAAACAATATGTACAGCTAATATTTGGCTCAGAATTTAATTTAAAAATACTGAAATTGTCATTAGATAGTGAAGCAGACACTTTCCTACCCCATGGCTCCAATTTAAGAATGGTCAATGAACCTCAGTTGAATTTATGGCATCTGCTTCCCTTTCTATTCCAATAGAAAGAAAAAAGAAAGAAAGAAAGAAAGAAAGAAAGAAAGAGAAAGAAAGAAAGAAAGAAAGAAAGAAAGAAAGAAAGAAAGAAAGAAAGAAAGAAGGTGAGACCAGGTATTGAATTCTTCCTATTAAAAGCCAGAAATGATATGGAACAGAAAATCTCTCTTCTTGGATAAATCACACTATTAGATAATTTTTTTCACTATTGGATTATAATGTACAGTTAAAATACATAGATTTTTGTGACACAAAGTTATTATAATATGAATTTATGCAACAAAAATTTGGCATGCCTTTTAAGAACCCACAACATTCTTTTTGTTAAAACACCTATTTTTTTTTTTTTTTACTAAAAATGGTTACCTTTAAAAAAAACAAAACACAGAGAGATACTTTAAAATACCGTAAGCCAGAAAAAAAAATACTTCAAATATATTGGTCAAGTGTTATACTTTAGCCAGTGGTGGGATTCAAATATGTGAACAACCGGTTCTCTGTGTGGATGCTGCTTCCGGAAGTCCATTCTGGGCCTGGGCAACAAAAAATTAGCTACTGGTTCTGCCAAAGTGGTGCGAACTGGCTGAATCCCACCACTGACTATAGCTTTATAAAATTGCACACAATCTATGAAATTGTGCACCCTTTGAAGGAAGAAATGTTTTTTGGTTTTCAATTTTATTTGGGTCCAAGTGTTTGGTCTAACCATTTTAGGACTGTAAGTCCCAGTATGTGCCACCATTCCTACAAGATTAGAGGGCAGCAGTTTATGCAAGGTTGGTGGAGAGACACATACAAGGTGTACTTCTAAGTTCTGTAAAAGATTGGTTTAATTTTGGCGTAAATTCTGTTTCGGGGGCTCTTCTTTCTGTAAATTGCTTGATATGGAAAAAAGGTCAAACCTTTTCTTTTGCTGGATTTGCAATAAATTAATTTGTACTTATTAATTATTTAATTAATTGATAAGAAAAGGAACGATGTAAATAATCTACATATTAGCTTCATATCAGAAGACTTCTTTTCAAAGCTGTGTAGGAATGGTCAAATGAAGTATTCACCGATCAACATTCTCTATTGAGAAGGCAAAGCAAGACTACAAAGGTGCTCTACTGCCTTTGGACACTAGATGGCAGCATGAAGAAATGGTAATAGCTGTTGGAACCAAAGCACTAGCACTGCCCAGCACAAAGCAGAATAAGAGTTGGAAGGGACCTTGGAGGTCTTCTAGTCCAACCCCTGCTCAAACAGGAGTCCCTATACCATTCTGGACAAATGGCTGTCCAATCTCTTCTTAAAAACCTCCAGTGATGGAGCACTCACAACATTTTGAAATGTTTCTATCTTTCTTTAACAGTTTTATCATGATAAATAAAAAGACAAAAAAAGCAGTGAAAAACATGTCAATACAACCCTTTGCACATTCAGACTGGGTTTTCAACCCTGTAATGTCTCCTGCCCAGCTCTTCTAGATGCTAACAAGGAAAAGGAGAAACTTCTTATGGTGGAAGAAACTGTGCAGAACAGCAGCAAGTAGATTCTTGACTATAACGATAAGTGACATCATACCAATGTCTGCAATGAAAGAGGCAACTGTCATGGAAGGTGTACTTGGAGGAGGAGAAGGGGGAGTCTCGGCAAGAGCACTGTGGTTTTTCCAGGAAGGAGGCAATACATTCCAGAGAGAGATCCAAAATAAAAAAACTGTCGTTCTGAACTGGGTGGGGGAGGGAGAAAGAGGTTCAGGGTAGCCACACTCTAGAACAGTGTTTCTCAACCTCGGCAACTTTAAGCTGTACAGACTTCAATTCCTAGAATTTTCCTGGCTGGCTGGGGGATTCTGGGACTTGAAATTCACAGAGCTTAAAGTTGCCAAGTTAGAGAAACATTGCCCTAATAGCTTCCAGCATAGGTTAGAAGCAGTGGTGGGATTCAAATATGTGAACAACCTGTTCTCTGTGTGGATGCCACTTCCGGAAGTCCGTTCTGGGCCTGGGCAACAAAAAATTAGCTACTGGTTCTGCCGAAGTGGTGCGAACCAGCTGAATCCCACCACTGGTTAGAAGGTTTAAAGCTTTAGACTGGCAAGATTCTGTCTACTAGGTGTAAGCAAATACATTAAATTTGCAAGGGTTTGGCTGAGGAATTCTGGAAGTTGAAGTCCACAACTTTAAAGTTGCCCAGGTTGGAGACCCCTGCATTAAAGAATTGGACTTGGTTGGATTTCACTGTGTTATTTTGGGGTATGTTTCTCAGGTCAAGATGATGGCAATTGTGCTACTTTATAAGCATAATTACACTATTTCCATCCCAAAACAAGTTCCTTTTAAAAGCAGCAGCATATAATATTGATAAATATTTATTTATTTATTAAACAAATTTATATGGCTACCCAACTTACACATGGCGAATTCAGAACAATAAAAAGCTACAATTCTAATAAACCCAAGCCTGCTGACAGAACCTCCAGGACCTTTCAGAAATATAACAAGGGTGGGGCCAATCCTATCTCCATAAGGATGATGTTCAACAAGGAGAGAGCCAGTATGGAGAAGGCCCTTTTTCTTGGTCCCACCAGATGATAATAATAATAATAATAATAATAATAATAATAATAATAATAATAATAATAATAATAATAATAATAATAATAATAATAATAATAATAATAATAATAATAATAATAATAATAATAATTTGGAAGGGACCTTGGAGGTCATCAAGTCTAACCCCCTGCTCAGGCAGGTAACCCTATACCATTTCGGACAAATGGCTGTCCAGTTTCTTCTTAAAAATTTCCAGTGTTGGAGCACTCACCGCTTCTGGAGGCAGGTTGTTCCACTGGTTAATTGTTCTAACTGTCAGGAAGTTTCTCCTTAGTTCTAGGTTGCTTCTCTCCTTGATTAGTTTCCACCCGTTGCTTCTTGTCCTGCCCTCAGGTGCTTTGGAGAATAGCTTGACTCCCTCTTCTCTGTGGCAGCCCCTGAGATATTGGAACACTGCTATCATGTCCCCCCTCGTCCTTCTCTTCATTAAACTAGACATACCCAATTCCATCAACCTTTCCTTATATGTTTTAACCTCCAGTCCCCTAATCATCTTTGTTGCTCTTCTCTGTACTCTTTCTAGGGTCTCAACAGATGTATTTCCTTAGTAGATGGGACCTGCAACTTGTCCTGACTTCCCATTTTGGTGGACCAGGTAGATGTTAACTGAGAAAAGAGGGTCCTTCAAATGATTTTGAAATGAAAGAAATACAAATTTCTTAACTTTGGTATCCAAGCAACTGCTAATGACTACAACATTATTATAAACTGCTGGAAGCTTAAACAGTTTCAGTGGCATATTGGTCACATCAACCAATCAACATAAACTCCCTTCCTTCCAAATTGCTGAATGTGGTTTGCAATCTGTTTAAAATTTACCACCTTTAATTATAAAGAAATAAATGAAATGTGTATCTGAATAATTTAAGTACGGCATGCTCAGCATGAGACATACAGTATTATCAGTTTTCACTCTGAAACTATTACCTATAGTCTCTGTGTATGTAGGCAGGGGGTTCTCTCCAGCAAGTGTTTCCTTCCGGGTCCAAGAGGCAATTATCAGCATGGACTGGATGGCTGAGATCCATGCGACTTTCCTGTTCTCCTAAGGAGGAATCACAAAAGTCGTAACTGTTTTGTTCCCTTGACCAACATTTTATTGCTCAATAGGCAAAAGAAACCCAAAGACCAATTACAACTCCAGAATTTACAGTACATAATATTGGTGGTCCTTGACTTACAGCCATTCATTTAGTGACTGTTCAAAGTTACTATAGCACTGAAAAAAATGCCTTATGACTGGCCTGTACACTTATAACCATTGCAGCCTCCCCGCAGTCACATGATCAAAATTCAGGCACTTGACAACCAGCCTGTGTTTATGCAACTTCCCAGGGTTATCATCATTTATGACCTCCCAGCCGATTTCTCATAAAGTCAATGGGGAAAGCTGGATTCACTTAACAACCGAGTAATTCACGTAATCAACTGTAGTGATTTGCTTAACTATGGCAATAAAGGTCATAAAATTGGGTGTGACTCAGTTAACAACTGCCTTGTTAGCAATGGAAATACTGGTCCCAACTGGGGCCATCAGTTAAGGACTGTCTTTATTTTCTGAAGAAACACATCTGGGTAGGCCTGATATAATTCTGGCATGAGACTTTTAAAAAATATATATTGCTATCCATTTCTCCTCCAGTAAAATTCCTCTCAATATATATCAGCAGGGATAACTTAGGAGACTTAGCAAAATCCCAGGTTCAAGCAGAGACCCAGCTTATCATAGTACTGCTTTATCTGACCTACACATATAGCAGACAATACATCCCCCCACTTGTTTTGCTAAAGCTATTTCTCTCCTGCTATTCCATCTCTCTCTCTCTCTCTCTCTCTCTCTCTCTCTCTCTCTCTCTCTCTCTCTCTCTCTCTCTCTCTCTCAGTAGCCATGTTTTAGTTTATTAGCAATAGCAATAGCACTTCGACTTACTGTATATACTGCTTTATAGTACTTTACAGCCAGTGGTGGGATTCAAATATGTGAATAACCAGTTCTCTGTGTGGATGCCGCTTCTGGAAGTCCATTCTGGGCATGGGCAACAAAAAATTAGCTACCGGTTCTGCTGAACTGGTGCGAACTTGGCTGAATCCCACCACTGTTTATAGCCCTCTTTAAGCAGTTTACAGAGTCAGCCTATTGGCCCCAACAATCTGGGTCTTCATTTTACCGATCTTGGAAGGATGGAAGGCTGAGTCAACCTTGAGCAGTTCAGAATCGAACTGCTGGCAGTCAGCCGAATTAGCCTGCAATACTGCATTCTGTCCACAGCGCCACCACGGCTCTTGAGTATTTCATTGTGGTGGATTTAGTGTTTTCAAGATGGAGGATTAGTTTAGCAATTCTTTCTTCTATACTTTCCTTTGATCTCAGGATTTGATGGCAGAAAATCCACAGTTTTCTTAACATTGTTTTAATGGAGACTAGTTTTCACTGTGTATGTTTTGGGAAGCATCATTCTCATTGACCACACTATATTTTTAAACCTGCCTTCCTTCACCGGTACACATGTATATGTACAATTAGCAGATTTTAAACTTCTAAAAATGAAAATATGAAATGGCACCATAACATTTTTACTTCCCCTGCAATTGTGAAACTAAACTATAGTCTCTATCAGGCACGCATCCTATAAATTCAAAGGGTAAAATATATATGACCATACATTCTTTACCAATTTCTGTTGCAATTACAATGTTATACATAATTATACGTAGCACATTTTCATCAGCACAGCCTGTATTGTACTGAATTCATGAATATGCCTATTAAGAATAACCACAGTTGTCAAATATGCAGACATTGTAGTGCCAAATAAATAAATGGGAGCCAATCTAGAGCACAGCCCACAATGACAATGCAAGACTACTTTATATATGTATGAGTTTCTCTTCCTGGATTGAAAAAGGTGTGTTTAGTGCAGGGGTGTCAAACTGGTGGCCCATGGGCTGGATGCATCATGCGCAGGCCACACCCACCCTGGCTCCGCAAAGGCAAAAAATGTTGCGATACCTTACGATACGTCATGTGACATGATCGAGTTTGACCCCCGTGATTTAGTGGATGTGAGTTTGATATATGCTTTAAAATCAAATCATAATCTTTATGTCATAAAACAGTGGATTTTTAATTTTCAGCTCAAAATCAGAATTCATATTTGAAATTTTATTCATGAACTAAAGCATGAGAAAGTTGCATTTTTTGAATATCCTTAGAAATGTTTTTGGTTCTGATATTCACTGCTTTATCAATAAATATGCATTTGCCAAAGTTATATAACCAAACCTATGTTTCCTACCCATTCCATATGAAGAGACTACATTATTTTTCTTTCTTATTTCTTCAATTGACATAGATAATTTTTACAATAAATTTACCAGCAATACCATGTTACAGATTAGAATGAGATGCATTACAAATTCTCATTATAAACATGAAGCTCTTACATTGCAAGTCTCAAGAAAGTACTTAAGAGTTCCTTACCGTCTGCAGCTGTGCGACACACAAGGTGTGTGAAAGAAAAATAGAGATTTTTCCCAGGGGTAAAATAGGATTCCACAATTTTCTGGGATTTCTCACTGGCTTGCAGGAGAAGTTTAATATCTTTCCAGTTCATACTACTCTCCTCAGCCAGCTATAAGAGAAAAACAAATCAGTGCAATACTTAATTTCTATTAAATTTCAGGAAGATCAAAAAGAAAACTGATAAAGACCCAGCCACGTTCGTTTGAAAGTTGACAGCCTTGGAGTTCTTATTTCTACTGGTCTCGTCTATCAGAACCATGACAGACCCATTATAAATATTCTTAACAAAGTAGGGTGGAAGACATGGCTTCTCTTACATCAAGTCAGAGAGGCAAGTCAGATGGTGACAATTTTCTTATAGCCCTAGACCAGTGATGGTGAACATTTTAGAGACTGAGTGCCCAAAACCTGCCCCGCCCCTGCCCCCATCGCCCCGCCCCACCTGCTCCACCCCCTCCCCGCCCCACCTGCCGGGCCACCCACCACCTCCACGGCCTGCCGCAGATCGCTCAGGCGGCCCTGCAGTGCCATGGTGGCCATGCCCTCCACCCATGCCCTGCATCATCTGCGCGCGACGGGGAGCAAGGGCGGAGTGTTGTCCCTGCTGCCCAGCTGCCATTTGCTTGGCTGCACTGCTCCACGCCTGGGGGCGACTCTCCTCTGGGGGGGCTGCTGATGAGGAGGGGGCTATGGGGGGAGGCAGGGCTGGGGCGACGGCGCACGTGCCCACAGAGAGGGCTATGAGTGCCACCTCTGGCACGCGTGCCATAGGTTTGCCACCACTGCCCTAGACTGTCAGTTAATTGTGTATTTATTTTACAAGTTATCAGTAAATAGAGAGACAAAAAAAACCTAGGTCCCTTCCTTGATAAGTGATATTAAATATAAATGTACATTTTTTTTTTCAAAAAAATGAGAATTAAGATTCCATCAATGGTCATAAAATGCCTTTAAATTATTTTATTTCATCATTCTTTGGAAAAAAATGGCTACCTGGCCTGGTACACACTAACATAAAATGAATGCATGCAGATTTTTTGTTGTTTAGTCACTAAGTTGTGTCTGCCTCTTTGTGACCCCGTGGACCATAGTATGCCAGCCCCCCCGGCCCCCCGCTGTCTCCCAAAGTTTGCTGAAATTCATGTTAATTGCATCAATGACATTATTTAGCCATCTTATCCTCAGCTGTCTTGCCCTTTCTTTTTGCCTTCAACCTTTCCCAACATCAGGGTCTTTTCCAAATGCATTCAGACTTAGAGATGCATAATAATTCACTCTTGGGAGCAAAGGTAGTAATTGTTCTCCGGGTCTCTCTTTAGGCAAACCAGGACTGCAAAATTGGTAGAAAACCCAGAGGACAGACAGAAAGGGGTGGTTTCACAGCAGACTTGTTGGGCCAATTAGGGTTGAGCAGATAATCACCCCCAACCAGGTCATTTCAACCTTCCTCCTCCTCCTCCTCCTCCTCCTCCTCCTCCTCCTCCTCCTCCTCCTTCCTGCAGCATGCATTGTCCAGATGGAAAATCTTGAGCTGGGATTAGAGGGAAAATGCATCTTTTGGAGGGAAGGACCAGAAAGACTGCTCTAGCTGCAGGCTGATCTTGAGATCTTCCGAGGTAAAGGATGAACGATATGGACTCTGGAAACAAGTGCTGAGATGTGTTTGCTGCATGGATATGGCCATACAAACAGCAGAACCATGTTCCCAAGGTTTAATTTAATTTACTTTTTAATTTGCTTTTTTATTACTACCTTATTTTCTCTTTTAATTTTATATTTCTTAGTTTTTAACCATATTTTGTTTGGTCAATAAAACAAAAAGAAAAATAGAAAATGAAACAAGTTTTGTATTGTTTTACACATTGTATATTTGATCCTTCCTGATCTCTTTTTCACCTGATTCTAATCCTATCTCCCATTCTGCTTTCTCTATGAGGTGCTCCAAATTAATTATATATGCATATTTGGAATCTTATATAAAAAGATTCCAAATATGATTCAGAGTCATTTTGCTTTGTTTCAGAAAGAAGGAAAAGTTAAGCATTTGTTTACAACTTCTCAGTTGAGACTTTCGCTATCCCTTTCCCAAGAAAACAGCAACTAGAAATCTTTTTACATTTATTTGCATAATATATACAGTTTAAATTTTAGGAAGAGGAAGAGGAAGATGTGTGTGTGTCCTATCTGTCTTTAATATTAACTTTGTAATGTATGTTTATGTCTAGAGTCTGTGAAACTGGGGAATAGGAAAAAAAAGTCCTGTGGGAAAAAGTCCTGCGGGACCAGGAACTTAGCTCATTCTAAAATCACTAAAATCACTTTTACCTGCAAAGCTTTTGTCACTGTTAAGCCTTCAAATCGCTCATGAGGAGTATGAGGGGAACGTCTGCCACGATAGCCATCTCCTGTTCCTCCAGCTGCCTGAAACACGCACAAACCTATGAGAGATCTGGTATTGCCCTTTACCAGCGCAAAGCTTCTGTTTCTGTTATACAGGATCATGCAGAGTATTTGCCGTCTCCTATCCTCACCTTGGACAGACGAAGGATGTCTTTGCATTCTGATTCAGTCAGGACTCTGTCAAAGACAACCCTTTGGGAACCATTGAGTTGGTGGGAATCCATGGTGATGGTGATGTCCTCAAAAGGCAGTGACTCTGGAAAAATAAGCAGGGCAGAAGTGTACAGTATATAGAGATGACATCAAATATTACTGTTCATCGTGAGTACAAAGGAAGAAATACAGGCGGTCCTCAACTTACGACCACAACTGAGCCCAAAATTTTGTTGATAAGATGAAATCTTTGTTAAGTGAATTTTGCCCCATTTTACGACCTTTTGTGCCACAGTTGTTAAGTGAATCACTGCAGTTGCTAAGTTTGTAACACATTTGTTAAGTGAAATCTGGCTCCCCTATTAACTTTGCTTGTCAGAAGGTTGCAAAAGGTGATCACATGATCCCAGGACACTGCAATCATCATAAATATGAGTCAGTTGCCAAGCGGCTGAATTTTGATCACGTGACCATGGAGATGCTGCAACAGTTGTCAAGTGTGCAAAAAGGTCATAAGTCACTTATTTCAGTGGTGTTGTAATTTTGAACGGTCACTAAACGAACTGTTGTAAATTGAGGACTACCTGTATGCTCTAATTTACAATCTCTGAATATATATGTGCCCTTCTTATAAGTTATAATTGGTATCTGCATAAGGGACTTTGAAAGACTCCATGACACTAAACAATTCTCACTTGCAAATTATTCTTTGGAAGCTGATACCAAAAATGGACCCCTAGGCTGTCATTATCCATCAGTTTCAGAATTCAGAGGCAAGGAATGGAATGGTCTGATACAAAGCTTATAACTGTGTTACTGACACAACTGTTGTCATAGGTACCTTGATATAGGTAAATTAAAAACAGATATCCAATTAATAGAATCAGCAGCAGCTATTACCCAGGGCCATAGTCCACTTAGCAACCATTGATATTTCAAAATAGGTAGATTTTAAAAATCACTGTAAAATCATAGCTGCTATGGTCTCATTAGTGATATAACTCCAAAGTCTTGGAATAACTGAGGTAAAGGTTCTTACAGCATTCACCACTCTTGACTCAGGCACCATTATAGTCATAAATCAAGGGTTACTTATAGTCAGATAGAGAATACATCTCTGTTTCTCTCTCACACACACACACAAACGTGCACAGCACACACTAACACATAAAGAGTTGACAAATGAATCTTTTGAATAGATGCAAATTTAGGAATCACTACAGTAATTTAAACATAAATATAATGCATCTTATCATAGTTGGTTAGACTGTGACCCAGTGATATCAGGCTGCTGTCCAGCTTCAAACTTATTTTCTCCTTTCTGCCTACCCAGGCCAATACTTCCAAATATGGTGAATTAAGGCACCTGCCATCCTTAATCAGCATGATGGAAGTTGTATATCAACATATCTGAAAGGTAATAAGATGGGAATGACTGCACTTTATTTGAACTAGGATTTATTGACTTACATCCAAACTTAGGACAGTTCTCTGAGGAGAAGCTATGGCCATCCTATTGTTGATCTGCCTCTATGCCAAAATAGGTACTCTGAATACATCTTTGGTGCTGAAATAATTTCTATACCTTTGCCATCCCTTTGGGTCTCTGTTGTAGCTAGTAAAAATGGAATCCCAAACAATCCCAGACTTTAGCAGGTGAACCTAAGTACTGGGAAGGAGACTTACTCCATCTCACCTTTAGGAGAAACTGTAGAGTCATCCTACTGGAATTTCCCTCTTCTCTCATTATGATAAGAAGAAGAAACATAATAATCTTTCTTCCCATTTATCATTTCTTTTTCTTGTACTCACCATTTTGATCCCATTGTTGCATATGTGAGGCCTTCAAGCTTCGTTTCTCTTGATCTTCTCTTGGGATTAATAAACAAATATAGAAAAGGCCATAACTACAGGGCATGAGACTGTCTCCGCAATTAAATAGCTCAGCAATAAATCAAATCACTTATAATTTCTATTCCGTTACATTTAAGGTCTCTTTTTTAAAAAAACCTTTCCTGATAGAGCTGAATCATTGCCTTTCATTAAGGTATCCTAGAATTGCATCCATATTTTACATTTCTGGACTGAAACTTACTTGTGTTTCTCCTTCATGCTTTCAGGGATCAGTTCCTCAGGAGTCCATAAATCCTAAAAAAAAAAAAAAACACATCCAGGACTTAGCACTACAAAATTAAGTTTATTGGTCCATTTTCTTTTTCACAGGACTGCATTCACAGGATTGCACAGACACTTCCTCACCACAGCAGGCACATGTGTCCTACTTTCTGGCTATTCCATATGGCAGAAATATTTGTGAAACTTCAGCAGACTGAGAAAAAAATATATCATCTGTCCAGTTTCCTGTAGTTTTACAAGCAGTGTGCTCCTTCCCACACAATCAGTAACAGCTTTTTAGAAACACTTCCATCTATAATTAGCACCTTTACTGTGGCCAGCACACCACCTTTGAAACACTTTTTCCATAAATACTAGACTGGCATTAAAATGCTATCATTGTAAAGACCTCTATTTGACACGAATTTAAAATTCTATGGTGATTTATGTTTACTTTGGTGTATGATTAGCATTCTTCTGATTTATTTTAGTTTGGTATTGTTTTAGGATTTTGTTGTGTTGTAACATGGCATATTTGGGGTGTTATGCTTCTCGCATATTGCCCTGACAGACTTAGAGGACGTTGGCTGAAAAAGGCTTATAATAAATGAACATATGTCCTTAAAGCATAATTTCTTTCAGTTCAGAAAAGGAGAACAGAAAGAGGATCCTATGTACTATTTCATCAACCAGTATTTGATAGATGAGATCAATAAATAGTTTTGTTGCAAAGAGGCCATGAAGAATCTACCTTCAAAGAAAAGACAGTCACTTACTGGATCCTTAAAAGTTTCATCGAAGTGTTGTACTGCATAATAGATCAGTTTCTTTTCCATACGGGATCTTTGCACATAATGGCGGATATTCTGTGGATTGAAAGCAGATGTTACAGCATTGCAATTTAAAATAACATACAAAAATCATAAATGGTTTGAGTGTTTCTTGTTCAAGAAAACAAGACACAAAACACACACAACCATCTCTGCTGCAGGCAATCAATCCAGCCTTCAGGTCAAACTAGATGTTATATTCAATGCAAACTTCACATTTCTGTCTTGTGGTCCCAGTCATGGCAGAGGCAGAGCAGAGGCAGGGATTAATGCCACCCCATACTGCAGCCCTCCTTGCATTTGTTACTTGCCCCTGAAGGGAAGCTGCTAGTCAACAGCAACTTGGGTCAAACAGCAGTAATAGAACATCCAGAGGGCAAGGGAGAAAAAATATTTGTAACTTTCATCTTAGATTTCTGAAAAGGCAGTGCCCCAAACTAACACCAAGTTTTGCACCTCAGGGAAACAAAGAGGTGGGCTGCGATAGATTGAAACGAGTAAGAGCTCACTTTCTTCCCAAGCAAAAACAGCTGCTTGCCAGCTAAACAAATCTGAGTTGATTCATGGCCATCAAATTGTGTGAGCATCAGAGAAAGAAGAAAGAGACAGTTAAGGGCCCACAGATTCCTTGCCAGAGGGATTATGGGTGATGGGCTAAAGATGAGCTGGAAACACTTTAATCTGTGTGCCTAATCTTTGCTCTAATGATTCATTCATTGGGGACTATCTTAATTCCTTGCCATTCACTCTGAGGACCTTTTCGCAGACCAATATTTAAAAGAAGACAATATTATAACACATTAAATATTATGTATTCTGTACAACAGAACTTATACAGAAATTAATAGTATAAAGGATGATCTGTTGTTAAAAAATCAGCAGTCTTATTGGAAATAACTAATGGTGAGATTCAGCCAGTTCGCACCAGTTTGGCAGAACTGGTAGCTAATTTTTTGTTGCCCAGGCCCAGAATGGGCTTCTGGAAATGGCATCCACACAGAGAACCGGTTGTTCACATATTTGAATCCCACCATTGGAAATAACTAAACTTTGATTACCCTAGGGGTAGAATGATCAGCTCCTGCTCAGAGGAGCAATTAAGATTTCTAATTATTGGTGTCATGAGTTCTATCCTTCATTTATTTCAAACAAGGCAGTGTGGCAGTGCATATGGAACAGATTCAACTTCTATATCTAAACATATACCAGTGTGATTTTCATACAGGATATTATCTACCTATTTTTGCTCTTATAGATAATTTGCCAATTTGTAATGCTAATGCTGGAAAAGAAACAAAAGAAAAGGATCCTGGGGCATAGCTTTAAAAATTGGGATTGGATAGCTTCTAACCTAGAAGCATCCTTATAACTGAATGCCATATACTGAGCCTAGTACTGTAGCCTTGAATATAGTTGTTATTGTACTGATGCATATTTAATAATTGCAAAGGATGCTTTGGGGGCTCATATAAAAGGTCCTTTGCTTGATTGATCCAGCAAGTAGATGATTGAAAGTGGATGCCTGGGCATTTAAAAGTCATTGTTCAGTACTGTAGATCTATCATTAATCATCCACTTAACTGAGTGCTTGAAACACTGGAGAATATTAAAACCTTTGTTTTAGAGTAATTCATTTCAAGGTATTCCCTATGGCAATAGGAAGATAATGCTTTAAGGCATCTACATAAACCCATTTGGATTATGAATGAATAGCTCTGTTACTGGCACAGAGAGAAATGGATACAGAGCAATGAGTGTTGGTGGATAAAATTCTAATCATGTTATTGTTTAATTTATATATTAATACATGGTTATAGCAAAGACTACTTCTAATACAACTACTAAAATGAATTCACAGTTGAATGACTGCACCCAGTGAGAACTTATTACCACAGTGGCTTGCTTCAATTTATGGAAAGAAATATGGAGAGGAGTACCACAGGGACCAATCCTGTAGTGTTCAATATTTTTATCAGACACTTGGATGAGTAACTGACAGGACACTTACAAAGTGTGCAGATGGGAAGGATTATTAATATTTTAGATGAAAGAGTGAAGATGTTAATAGAGCTAGACAGGCTTAAAGAGTGGGTTGAAATGAATAGGATTAAACTTAGTAGGGAGAAATATCAGGTCCTTTATCTTGGTAAAAAAAAAAATGCAAAGCACTATAGAGTGGAAGAAAACTTGTTTGGCAGTAGTACATATGGAAGTGACCTGGGTGTCCCTGTTGAACACATATTAAACATGAATCTATAGCACGGTGCAGCTGCTAAAAGGCAAATGCTACCTTGGGATGTATTAACAGTAGCACAGAGTCCAGATGATAGGAAGTAATTGTTTCACTCTATGGAACCTTGGTAAGTCCCCATTTGGAAACCTCTATCCAGTTCTGGATTCCACAATTCAAAAAGGATTGTGACAAATCAAAGTAAGTATGGAGTATGACTATCAAGATGGTGAAGAGTCTGGAAACCAAACTCTATGAGGAACTTTTAAAGAATTGTAAGTACATTTTATCTATAGAAAAATATTTAAGGGAAGATACAATAACAGTCTGCAAATATCTGAAGGGTTATCACACGGATAATAATAATAATAATAATAATAATAATAATAATAATAATAATAATAATAAAGTTGGAAGGGACCTTAGAGGTCATCAAGTCCAACCCCCTGCTCAGGCAGGTAACCCTATACCATTTCGGACAAATGGCTGTCCAGTTTCTTCTTAAAAACTTCCAGTATTGGAGCATTCACTGCTTCTGGAGGCAGGTTGTTCCACTGGTTAATTGTTCTAACTGTCAGGAAGTTTCTTCTTAATTCTAGGTTGCTTCTCTCCTTGTTTAGTTTCAATCCGTTGCTTCTTGTCCTGCCTTCAGGTGCTTTGGAAAATAGCTTGACTCCCTCTTCTTTGTGGCAGCCCCTGAGATATTGGAACACTGCTATCACGTCCCCCCTTGTCCTTCTCTTCATTAAACTAGACATACCCAATTCCAGCAACTGTTCCTCATATGTTTTAGCCTCCAGTCCCCTAATCATCTTTGTTGCTCTTCTCTGTACTCTTTCTAGAGTCTTAACATCTTTTTTACATCGTGGTGACCAAAACTGAATGCAGTATTCCAAGTGTGGCCTTACCAAGGCATTGTAGAGTGGTATTAATACTTTGCGTGATCTTGACTCTATGAGAGAGTGGACTTATTCTCTATTGCCCAGAGGGCTGGAACAGAACCAATGAATGAAGGTTTCAACTAGACATCAGGAGGAACTCATGAATACATGGACTGCCAGCAGTGGAATAGGTTACCACTTGAAGTGGTGAGTTCTCCTTTGTAAAAAAGAATCTTCAAACAAAGGCTAGATAGTCATCTTTCACAGATGTTCTAGTGGAACCTCCAAGTCCCCTTCCAATTCTATGATACTATCACCGAAACCTTATTAATTTGTCAAAAGAGAACTGAGAAAGATTTCAGATAGGAAAAATGCTGCTGGCTACCTCTCTGGCTGGAATAGCTATTTCTTTCCCCAGGTCTGCTTGGTACACTTTCAATCTCTCCAGCATTTTTTCATCTGATGGGTAGAATAGTAGGAAGGTAGCTGCACATTCAGCAGCAACAGTCCGATTTCCAACTAAAAGAAAGAAAATGGTCTTCATCATAATGTTTCTTCTGTCTGCCATTCTGGCAAAGCTTCACCCTATAGTCTTACATGAACTTCTCAGCTGTTCATTTCCTGCTTACCTCTGTCATAGGCAAATTGCAATAAATCAAAATGAGATGGGATGAAATCTTCTGTGGAAGACACCCTGCCTGGCTTGGTGGCAATATCAAGGACACACTGTTGCCTGCATTTCAAGACCTGGACATAATGAGCTGGAAAGAAAGAAAGAGAAACTCAAGGGGGCTTTGGCATCACAACTACAGAAACAGCTGGAACAAGTATTGCTAAGATTCCTACATTTTCTGTGTCCCTTAACTCACCATTCAAGTAATGCTGTTAATTTAAAATACGTAGATTGAATTGAATGTGATATTTTATTTCAAAATCTGAGTAATTGTCTTGTTGGCCTATCTAGATTGTTTTGGCTTTGGCCAATATGACAACTTGTGTAGTGCTGATTGCCATACAAGTTAAGTGCAGATTGCTATGTTGTTTATTATTGTTTAGGGAAAAAAGACTGGAGAAAAATGGTCTCAATTTTAGTGGGCCAAGGGAGGCATCAAGACTTCCATGTCATGCAAAATAGAAAAAGGCAAAGAGTGTGGATCAGAGATTGGAGATTGAAAAGATCCCTGAGGAAACATACGCAGTGCCTGAATTAGTTAGCAGTTAGCTGGATATCCCTTTTCAGTGGTAGCATTTACAACAATGCTTTTTATCTAGTCAGACCAGAATTTTTGTATGAAAGGATTTTGTGCTGGATTCTGATATTGACTAATAATCCTCTCCTAATTTTCCTAGGAGAAGGGAGACCTTTTTGATTATTGTTATTGGTACAAATTAGAAAACCTTCCAAATTGCATCTTATTCTTATTTGATTTCCTCATCTCAAAATGCCTTTTAAAATCCTGACAGCTTGGAGCCATACATTCATTTGAGATGCTTCCCTTCTCATTGGCCCCTTTTAAAACTGAGGGAATTTCCAATTTGTAAGATTGTTCAGGAGTGCAAAATTTGGAGGATGTAGGAGACCAGTAATGAGGCTCCGGCAGCTTTACAAATCCAATCAAGCAATCATGTCTTCCTGACATTTCCTAAATTTCTGAGGTTGGGATAGACTGTTTGACATACTGAATATTGAGAACATGGTCATAGACATCCCCATAAATTTCAGCATAGACTCCCAATTTTTCAATGACTTTATTTAAAGAGTAGTCAAAACTTAATTTTCTCCCATATCTGATTCCAAATTTTAAGAACCTTCCCCCCATTTTTGCAAAAGCTATTATAGGTATTGTGAGAACATGAAAAAATGGCAGTTGTTTCTTTTTCTAATCAATTTTAATGTCCACAACAAGATCCATTGCTATCTTACCCTGAATATTTAATCATACCATTTAACCAATTTCTTCTAAAAAGTAACTGTACAATTTCACTGACTAAGAGCTATATCTCACCTAACTGCTCCTATTTTTTTTTTTAAAAAAAAAAACCTTTTCCATGGATCTCCCATGTCATGCTCAAGTGAAACAACAAACAGCTACTTTGGGAGAGTAATATGTAGTGAATATCCAAGAACACTCAACATTAAGATATGCAAAACAGTATTCTGTTTTAGACCTCTGTAAAGCCACTATGCTGTACTCTGCAGTAAATCATTTTTCTCACTTTGATAAACAGGCTACAGGATTTCCTCAATGAAGTATTTTGCATCACCTCAAAGCTTTGTACAGTAGTTCCAATACTCAGTTCACTTTGGTTATTCCCGAAGGAAGCCCTCAGAAGCAAAAGGCTATGCTGCTTTGCAAAATAGCTTCAAAAGTATATTCTGCTCAATCTTTTGTCAAAGTGAGATATTCCTTTGAAGATCTGCACATCTCTTTTAAAAAAAGATGTGTCTTTCAGACAATGCCTTATAGTTTTTCACATACTTGCCAGCTCACACAATTCATCATATTTTACTAAATCTTTGATGATACCTGCAATGCTTTCATAGAGGCCTAGTTGTGTCTCTTCCTTGTTGTCCTCATCTTCTCGGGGCCCTTCACAAAGAGCTCTGCAATTCTCCAATGCCAGCAACCCCTCTCTGAGCGATTCTTCCAGTTTGGCTGCTGCCTGCTGGTAGTCATCCATACTGTAATGATGCATCCCAGCTTCATAAGCTGCCTGCAGAGTCAAAGAACCAAGCCACCTTGGTTAAAGTCTAAGGATTGTGCAGATGGTGACTACTGAGCCCAAAGAATAGTACAATTGTCCACTCAAGAGTATAAGTAGCCCTCAGCTTACATTCCTTTAGCGACCATTCGAACTTAGCACAGCATTGAAAGAATGACTTGCAACTGATCCTAGCACTGATGACCTTTGCAGCATCCCCCCCCCCTCACAACAAGTGAGCACGCTGCTATGTTTTGCCTGCTGCTGTGATGGTTCAGCAGAGCATAATATCTCCCAAAATTTTGAGATCATTTTTAAAAAATATTTTTGGGGTTTGCCCTCTAAGCATTTGTATAATTTAAATCCTGTTCTATGATTACAACAATTTAAAAACACATTTTTAAAGTTTTTTTAAAGGAAAAAAATTGGATACAAGTTAAAACATCACTTCTAGAGATCAATCACCATTCAACCCCAAAAAAGCAGTTTGTTTTTTTAAAAAAACAGTTGTCAGATTTCTGCTAAATATTTGTTCCATTTGTGACTATTGCAGAAGTATAATAAAAATAGTTTAAAGAGGGTTAAGGCAAATTTAAAATTTAAAAAGAGGAGACCACAATGAAGCCAACTAGAAAGAAACAAGTAGTAACAATTTAAACCTTGTTTTACACATCAGCACGTTTTCCTAATTTTTGCAGGCTTGTTTTTATTGTTCTGCTTGTTTAAATTTACAGATGAAGTTTTACGCTGCAGTTCTGTTCTGAGAAATTGCAGAAGAAATATGAGAAAAACATGTAGGAGGGCAATATTTTATGACCCCTTAGAAAACAAGCACACTTATCTATGAGAGTCAACATACTTTTAGGTCTTTAGAATCAGGACTCCCAATCTCTACACAGCAATCCTTCTGATCTCTTCTATAAAATCCAGTTTTCCAAAAATATCTCACCCAATGTGGTTGAGCCTCCAGATCCCGAAAGCTTTCGGATTTTACCCCTGCCATGCGCTGGTATTTCTCCATATCCTCACGCATTTGTAGGTGCTGTGGATTGGCTACGAAGAATGTATGAGCCGAAGAGACAGCTTCATCCAGTTTTTTTAACTGTTGAAAATAGAAAATAAAATCCTTTTTGACTGAATGTAGAATACGAGGGGATCATCTCAGTTTGGGAACAAGGAGGTAAAAAGGAATCCAGTAGCCCCTCTGGTTGGATCTATTGGCCCCCCGAATAGTACTATCGACTAAAGTATCTGTGAAATAATGTTTATTATATCATAATTCAGGTTATAATTAGCATGTGTGTGCATGTGCATGTATGTACACATAGACATACAGGCACACACACACACACACACACGCACACAACTATAATACACAGTCTCAATTTGATTTTAAAAATCCTTACTCTGTGTAGTCTATCTGCAGGAAACCCCCTCCCACGTGCATTGATAGTTATGTAGCATCTGGGTTGAATCCACATTATTAACACTGACAGGTACTTTTCTGACATGTACAGCAGGCAGTTTTATTTATTTTTCCAACCTAAGTGGGAGGGGCTATGATTATTAGAATTATAAAACCTAATCATCATAGCCCCTCCCCACTTAGAGTGGAAAAAAATGCTCTAGAGGGAGAACTCTAAGGAAACAGAGGAACAAGGAGTCACCACAAACTTGAGAAACTGAGAGGAGTCTTCTTAGCTACCAATTAAAAAAATTAAAAATAGCTACAAAAAGCTCAACAACAACACAACCACCATCAAATAAGCCAAGTTGAGGACTATGATGCTGAAAATCAGGTTATTCTGAAACAGGTAAAATCTAGATAGTGTTAAATTTAGAATCATATTTTTACATTCTATGTGTTTAAGTCTAATGTGTTTCTCTGGTATTTCTCTGTACAGATCAGTAACTGCATGTTTTATGGAACTTTGAACCTCTTTATAGCAATACTATCTCTAAATTAGGAGAAAACCAGCATCATCTTGTAGTTTGGCAGAATTTGTTAATTTTCTTTATAATTTTCAATAGGAAATCCTTTTAAATCCTTTTAAATTGCAATCTCTGACTTGAACAACTAAATAGTTTTATTTGCTCTGCTACTTGAAGCTAGAAGGGATTTATACATTCTTTTCATTTTTTAAAAGCAAAGTTTGTTTTTATGTATCTCTTGTGAAATTGGTCTATCCCACAAAAAAAAAAAATACATGTGAAAAGGACTGATTTTCCTAGCCTCAATACTACATACCGTAGCTATAGGGCTCTCTATGGAATTTATTTTCCCCCTCATTTTTCTTCTTTTTTTTCCTTTTAATTTGTCAAGAAAGCAACTGACTGTTGGAAGCCCTCTCGGTCTTAGATAGCACTGGATGCCAACTGATCCTCCCTTACCCTTGGAAGAAAGATAGTGGTCTAACAAGCTTCAAGGGCAAGGCAGAAAACGGAGTTATGATGTATAAAACCCAAGCTGAAAGGAAGTTCAAGATCTCCAACTTTTCACCCTGTAGGCTCAGCTTTGCTAACATGGTCCCCAAGTAGAACACCAAGAGCAAGTCAGCCGGAGATATTTTGCTGATTGATGTAGTGTTTTCTCATAAATCATTACACCACCCAACTATTTTGTCATCACAAACAAAACAAAAAAGGAGTATAAATGTAACAACATCAGTAGCAAAAGCAATGCTAAACCAACATTTTCTTGCTCATAGCTCATTGGCTATCAAATTATTGTTCATTCCACATAGTGTATCTCACGAATTCTGAATTAGGATCCTGTGAGGTTAGTTCTTTCCTTTTGAAATGCCCCCCCAACCAGTGTTTTTTAAAAGGGGGCCCAAACCCAACATTTGAAACCAATAGATGGATCAGCATTTCATGCAAGACAGCAGTACAAAATAATTAAAATCTGATGCCAGGAATTTGTTCAAGTTTTATCAATGACTGGACTACTGATTTCAATGAAAAAAAAAATGAAACAAAAATACAGATGCAATGAAAATAAAGTTTGGTGGGAGAGCTAAGATTAATGTCCTGCCCTCAGTCTCCCAGGAGTCTTCAATAGAGCTTGAACCCAACAAATGACTTCAGGACAGAAATACCATTTTAATGCAAAGAATGTACTAAAAACTGGACGGATAAAGGAGTTGTTGAAATTCAAAGCCATGGGAATCTCTGCAGGAAAATTTAAGAGCTTTCTGGAGTTGAAGAAGGTATTTGATGTATGCTAATACTTTGGCGAGGGCTGGACGGTCTGGGGTGGGGGTGGGGGCGGAGGGGTAACGGTTGCGCTGCTCTTCTGGAGGACGTGGAAGAGGGTGGCCGAGGACGGGCGGCCACATCAGCAGCTGCAGCACACGGAGGGTCCTGCCCCCCCTCCCCACCGCTCACCTTGAAGAAGGCAACTTGCAAATAATTGTAGGGCTCCCTCTCTTCAAAGTCCTGTTGGATGACGCGGCTGGCTCGGTAGCGGGACGGCTGCCCGCCCAGCCTCCGTCCCAGACATTCCTCCAGGCATTCCGCTCGCTGCAGCACCCGGTCAAAGAAACTGGTCTCCCACGGCTGGAAAGGCGACGGGCTCCTAAAACAGGCTTCCCTCTGGCATCCGCCTCGGCACTTTCGGCGCGCCTCCTGCAGCTGCGAATAGCCGTGGATGGAGCGCTGGAGCAGCTCGGAGGCCCGAGGCCAGTCCTGGGCGAAGTACGCCCGCACCCCGTCCGCGTAGAGCAAGTCGAAAGGGGCCACCTGGCTCGACCCTGGAGAGAAGCAGCCGCAGCTTCCAGCGAGGAGAAGGAGGAGCAGAGCGGAGGAGAGCATGGCCGAATCCCGAGCGGGATTCGAGGGAGCGAAAGCCAGAAGGGAAGCGAAGGAAAGCTGCAAACGTAGCTGGAAGGAAGGGGGTGGGCGGGGAGAGAGAGAGAGAGAGAGATGCCCCGGCTGCTTTCCGCTCTTCTGCTTGGCTGGGATGGAAAGGGGCGCCTGCTGGAAGGAAAGAAGAAGGCGGAGACCCAAAGAGGAGAAAAGAAAGGTAGGGAACTCCAGAGCCGCCCGTGGCTGGAAAGTCCTCCCGAAGCGGAGGAGCTGGCGAAGGAGCGAGAGCCCAGGCAGTCTGGCTTTTGGGCGGGAGAGGAGAATCTCTCCGAAGGGAGGTGCGAATTGATGGACGCTTAGCCAGCCATCTCCCAGCTCAGAGCACTATAGAGCTTCCTGGCTCCGGCCTTTGAAGTACTGTATAGCTATAAATGCCCTGTTTAAACGGAAGTTCGCCTTTGTTTGCAGATAAAAAGTACGTATGGTTTATTACTTGTATTTTGCTACAGATACGGTTGCTTGCCCGTGTGGGCTGAAAGGGCCTTTATAGAGGTGAAAAAAGAGCTTGAGCCTTGATTCCCCCTCCCTCCCCCTCATCTCTGCATATAACAGGTGATCCAACTGAGACTGCTGTGGAAGGTGCCCATCAGTAATTTAGAGCCGACAGCAGGTGGAAGCACTGGTTGGCCCTGGCCTGGAAGCTGAACAGGGATGCACTGGAGAAAAACCTGCAGTACTGTAGATTTGACCTTCTCTTTTCTTTTTTGTTTTACCATTTGCACGTTCTTAAAAACTCCATTCCTGCTTTGCTCAACTAAGTTTTACATTTCTCTTAAACCACTCACTTCCATACTATATAACAGAGCAGACCCACGGTATATGTTCCTCGCTCCCGGCCAGCCTAACATCATCCTGCACTTCCTGAATTTTGCTCACTGATGCTTCTTGTACTCTTTCAGTCAAAAGCCTGCCAAACACTATTCCTGCCAGACACACGTATACTTAACAAATGAATCCACCTGTAATTTTTGCACCCATCTGCTTTGTATAAACTAGAGGAACAACCCTGGTCTTCCTTCTGAGGTCATGTCACAAGTTCTATCAAAGCTGAGTTTTACTTGCAAGCTAGGATTTTTAATGTAGAAGCTCTTACAAGCCAATGTACTGTTGCCCTTATTTTGTCACCTAATATGTACACAGAGCTGTTGTGCTGACACAGATTCTATAGTCGAGAATGAGTGGCTAATGAATGAATGTGGATTGAGCACAGGGGTGAGTGAGCTGTAGAAGAGAAGCTGGTTGAGATACATTAGTTATGCAGCGAAAATGAAGAGGATTAAATTGCAAAATAGTCATCTGAATGAAGAGTGCAGAGATCAAGAAAATGGGGAATGACTAAAAAGTGATGGTTGGAAAGAGTTGATGACTGATCAATTACGTGCCATAAAGTCAATGTTGATTCCTAGTGACTGTACTGTATAGATTTTGTCCATGTAAAGTTAATGACATCCTCAAAAAGAAGTGAGAAGTTTAAAGAATCAAAGGTTATTAATGTGTGGACATCACAGAAGCAAAGATGGTTTGCAAAGACAGAAAGACATGTGAAGAATTTGGTGCGAAGGAGGCCCTCTCTGAAGGAGATGGGCAGTTTAGAAATATGAAATATAAGTAAATATAATAAGATGTAGCCATATTTCCTTTTCTGTGAACTGATACCTTTACTTTCTTATTTCTTTCTGTATTTTGCATAATAATACTTACTCTAAAAAAGAAGCTTCTGATGGCTATCTCTGCATCTCTTTTTTCCATGAATGTCATCCTTTGACTGTATACCTTGTGAAGAAATGCTTCTTTTAATCAGTTCTGAATCTTGTGCCATTTAGCTTCATTGGATGACCCCAAGACTTAATTTTTTGAAAGAGTTTGCTACAACATACAATGTAAAGACTGTAACAGCCACTATGTAAGACAGACAGGTGGAAAATTAGCAGAGCGCATCCATCAATACCAGCTAGCAGTAACATGACTGCTAGCATGACTTTTGTATATTCAAAGACCCTGTGATACCTAAAGTAGAAGAATGTTTACTAAAGAACTGGCCATGATGGCTAAATTAATGGCTCTTGTGAGAGGAAAGTCACTGAAGAAATTCATCTGGAATGGAAGCCTTTTTGTGGAGAAAATGGGAAAAATATCAAATTATTTCTTTATCTATTAAATGTAGATTCCGCCCATCTCACTATCCAAAATGAGACTAGGTTGCTATTATGATATATGGATTTACAATTATTATTA